TCAGAGTGTAGAACAGCAGGGGCATTACATTCTGACCCTAGAACGAGACAGAAAGGCACTATTACTGCAGTCAGAGTGTAGAACAGCAGGGGCATTACATTCTGACCTAGAACGAGAGAGAAGGGCATTGCTACTGCGAGCCAGGTGGGCACAAACTGCTGCTGTTCTGGCCATACATTTATCAGATACCCAGGATCATACGGATTTCATCAGGTATTCATGTGAGTGCCAGATGTTGTTCTTCCGGAAGAGCTCATTCAGACAGCATCAGTGTTCTTAATAAAGCGAGAACATTAGAAAATAATAGCTAGATTATTATTAATTCCTCTGGTATTTGTTGTTAGAGCACTGTTTATGAAGCACTTGTTTGGTGTTATTAATGTGGAGACCATATGGTGACAGCATGTTCCCAGGAGTCAGATCTCTAGTGAGTTTTGCAGCAACCTTTTTGGCCTGGGCTGGTCTCTTGGCTGCACAGGAGTGAAAGTAGAAGCAGTCCCATGGCTAAAACAGCTATCCATTCCCTAAATTTGTCTGCAGAGGTGTTCTTGGGGCTACAGTGGGGGCCACCAAGCCAGCACCTCATGCCATTATCATACCCTCAGCAGACACACTCACCCGCCACGTGGCCAGGCCCCACTGCTGGCTGGCTCAGCAGCCTCCAGCAGCTGCCTGCTCTCCCAGCTGCCCTTCCAGGACACACCACATCGCTGAGTTAGGGCAGATAAAGCCCAGGCTCCTTCCTCCAAGAGCTCAGGTATCTGTGTCACAAGGGCAGATGGGATTTTTCCACATTCAAGGGCAAATATGGGAGCACTGTGGGTACCAAAGTACCTCTGTTTAGATACAGCACAGTTGTATGGCCAATGTACTGTGAATTCTGGACAGAGAAACACCTGTTTTTTTTCAGAATGCCACAAGCAAGAAGTCCCCAAAAGTCCCTGCGGAGCAGATGCAGTGACAGTGCTGGTCCTCCTTCAATCCAGAGGACAGGGACATCTGTTTGGGTGTGGAAAAGGGCAAGCCAAATGTCTAAACCTTTGCTAAGACCCATTTCACGCTGGAAGATCAGCAGCACCAATACCTCATTGGGCAACTACCAGAGCTGACTAATTCAGCCACATGTTGGGAATGAGAGACATTCAAAAATGCTCTGGAATTGCAGTGAAGGGCAGACATTGTGTTTCCTCTGTAAAGACTTAATAAGAAGAGACAGGGTATAAACAGAAAAGCCCGGGTGAGGCTCCTCCCCGTCTCTTTGCCTTGTTTTCCTGACATGTCTCAGCTGGCCCCGAGCGCTGCCGTGGCTGGCCAGCAGGCAGGGAGCCCCAAAGCCACTGGACAAACAGGGTTTTGTACCAGAGGAATTGGGCTCTGCAGTTCCACTGTGATTTCCCAGAATTTCTCTGTGTTTTTTCTGGGTGTGGGTCAATTATGGTTGCAGTTCCCCCTCTCTGTGGAGCTTTCTCAGATTAGAATCCCAAGCAGCACTAAAGGACTCGACCGGGGTGCTCTGCCAGAGCATAATCCTGTGGAAAATGCAGAACAACCCTAAGATGTCCCACAGGATCTCATGTGTCTTATCTCAGACAGGAGCTGAAATGACATAAACAGCAAGGTTTGCGCAGGGCTGAGCAAACATTTAAGGAGCCAGCAGGAGACACCAAGTGAAGGCAGTGACTGAGGAGGGGAAGCAGAGCCTGTGTGGAGAGGAGGAAGGAAGAGAAAGGCCAAAAGCCGTGTGAGCACTTGTCTGTGCAACTGTTGGGCTGGAGGCACTGGGGACAAAATTATGACGAGGAGAGAGTCAAATGTTTGTCACAGAGCAAATCCTTACTGTTCCAAAGCACTTTAATTTGTTTAAAGCAAATCTGAGGGTTGCTGCTTTCCCACGTGCTGCTCATGCTGGAGCACTCGTCATCCTCTGTATAAGGAAACAGAGCTGGGTGTAGCTCGGAGCTGGGCTGTGCACCCTGCAGAGAGTAACCCCTTGTTCCACAACCAAACCAAAGTCAGATGGTTCATTGCATCTCTCAAGAGTCAGCTTTCCTGACAGAAATGTTAATGGAAAAGGTTTGCAGAATAAAATCCAGGCACAATTTAGCCATGCCAATAGGAGCCTCAGTGTATTGTGTTTATGCATAAACCCCTTTTTTATTATTTCCTTCTATAGGAAAGAGATGCTGCAATGTCAGCAACGAGCTGGTTCTGGTTTTGTGCTATACAAGATTTGCTGCTCTGAAATGCAGCTACATTTACCTCCCTTCTCTGGATTTCTTGTGTTGCCTGTGCTGAGATTTTTGATTTAAGGCCATTAACACAAAAGCAGAAAGATCTTGCCTGCTTGCCTTTTTTCTGTAATTGCCTTGTATTTCTTTTCCTTGTGCTAAATCATTATGCGGAGTATGGTCAAAACACAGACAGAACATATTTGGGGTACATGGTAACTTTTCTGAAGATTCCAAATGGAATATTTTTATCAGTTAGTGAGTTAGTGGAGAATAGAAAGTGACACATTAAAAAAGTGAACTCAATTTGATGACAACCCAGGCAAGAGAGGTTGATATTAAAGAACAGGTGTGCCTTGGGCTGTGAGGGTTGTGAACTCTTTTGCTGGCACACAGAGGTATTTTACAGGCTATTCTGGGGAGTTTTGGGGTGTCTCTGCCCATGGCAGAGGGGGTTGGAACAGGATGAGCTTCAAGATCCCTTCCAACCCAAACCATTTTGGGATTCTGTGATTCTCTCTCCAGACTTTGTCACATAATTAGTTATTAGAGCCTCTGATGGTGCTTTCTGGAGACGCTCACAGTGGATGCCTCGTGCAGGCACCTGCACTTGCAGGGGATGTGCAGCTGCCAGTTCCAGTGCTGGGGGTCCACAGTGTCTGATGGGAACCCTGGGGACAAAGGTTATCACAGGCATGGTAATGCCAAAATTACACCACCTGTGCTAACCCCACGTCGTGCTGGGCAAGTGTCATGAACCCTTCCTCTGGAGCAGCTGCAGTGGGAGCCTGGCCAGGGGTGACTCCAGGCTGCTGGGGCAGCGAGTGCTGGCTTACCTCTGCGTGGACTGCACGAAGAACTGCTCCCCCAGCAAGGTCCTTACTTCATCCAGAGCTGAGCCGGGCTGGGCTGCACCTTGCCATGGGGCCCTGCTGCTCCTGCCAGCTGCGTGTGCCACGGGTCACTAGGGCAGAAGGGTTGGTGTCAATAATCAGCCAGAAAATCAGTGTTCTCAGTGCCATTCCCATTCCCCCTTGGCAGCAGGAGCACAGGGACAGACCCCCTTGGCTTTCTGAGCTGTGCCTTTTCCCTGTCACAGCACCAAGTTTGTCCAAAGCAGTTCCAGACTTTGCAGAGCAGCACGTTTGTAAGACTTTGTGGAGTGGTTATTCCCACTCCTCTCAGGCACCTTGCAGGCTCAGCAAACCCAGGAGTGGGGCAGCAATACCTGATGGCACTGCACAGCAGCCAGGCACAAACCAGGGCTCATGGCCCCAACATCTGTTCTGGGAAGCAAAATTGGTTGCAATTAAATTCAGGAGGAGAAGCACAAATTGGCATTTATTGGCAGACAATTATCTGATTGTGGCTGATATTTGAGAAGAATTAAAGACACAAAACTCACAGGCACATAAAAGCAAATACTTAGGTGTTGTGTTGCTGCTGTAAGGGTAGCAATGACTCCGGTCTTAATCACTACATTGGGAATGGTCATACAGACCCCAGCTAAAGGAAAACCATTCTTTTCTTCACCAATTAAATCCAGCACACTGACACCTTTTCAGCAAAACACATTTTCTGATTGTAAATTCATGGCACTGAATGGAACAGAAATAGTATTTTATTCATCTTATTATTCAATAGCTTATCTGCCCAATTTCATAAGGGAAGTAGGGGTTGGATAAGGTAAATAGGGGTTGTATAAGGTAAACAGGGGTTGGATAAGGTACTCCTGTACTGCAGAAATCCTGCTGCATCAGGCTGAAGTGCATTTGCTAAGGAGAACAAGCTGCTAACCAAAACATGAATTGGACTCACTTTCCACCTGCACAGTCTGTCAGTGGGAGCACTGGCTGCCAGCAAAGGCAGCCACTAGGTTTGGCTCTTACAACACCCAGGTGCAAGTTACTTGATGTTTAAACCTCCAGCTGAAACCTTCCCAGGCTGTTTCCATCAGTGCAGGACACAGGAGTCACCCTGTTACGTGCACAGTGGTTTGGCCACCGCCGTGGTCAGGCTCTCCCTGGGTGTTGCAGTGTCTGGGAGCTGAGCTGGTTGCACTCGTATCAGGGGGTCAGAAAGGTCACACAGAGTTCCAGAATCCAGAGCTCCATGCTACAGATGGAGCATGCTGTGTTTTTGCAGGAATGTACTGGTGAAGTAATAACCCTTTCAGTGAACTCTGGAGAGTTGAGTACCAGTAATGATAGAGCTATAATGTGCTGGCCACTGCCAAAAATAATCCAACAACTTTTCCAACTGTTCTGCCACCCTAAGAAAACACTGTTTCAGTTCCAACTGGCTGGTTTTTAACCACAAAGGCATTTATTTTCAGCAGGACTT